CATGGAAAGGGTTGTGTCTGCAAAGGTGTGAGAAGGTGTCTGTTGTGCGATGACAGGGTTGGAAGTGCTGGAAGTGATGATTTTGGTGACATGAAGTGGTATTCATCACTTCCTCAATACATATATTGTGCCGATTGTGGGGACAAAGCGTTTGGACCGCAACTCACCGATCATTCACTTCACTCAACACTCGACCAATTGGTTGAAAGACAACACTTCGTGATCATCGATGGCCTGTTTGTCAAATCAGATGTGATAACCGCTGAACGAGAATTGGCTTTAGTTGAGGCCATTGACGGCATTCCGTGGGTTGACTCGCAGTCCGGTCGACGCAAACAGGATTTCGGACCACAAATCAATTTCAAGAAACAAAAAGTAAAGTTGAATTCATTCAATGGTTTGCCTCAATTCGATCGGCAACTGATCCAAGAAATTGCAAACCAATTGACCGATTCTAGTGTTCTGAAGGACTTCTTGGCCGTCGAAGTGTGTCATCTCGAGTATAATCCCCGCAACGGTTCGTCCATTGACTTACATTTTGATGACTTCTGGATTTGGGGTCAAAGACTGGTGACGGTTAACCTCTTATCTCCCACTGTATTGACGTTTGTTTTGCCCAAACAAACTCGTGACCAAATAGAGGCCAATCACCGCATTTGTGTGCAATTACCCCAACGATCACTTATAGTGGTGTCCGGCGATTGTCGCTATAAATACCAGCACTCAATCAGACCACAAGATATCCAAAGCAGAAGAATTGCAATCACTTATAGAGAATTGAGTGACCAGTTTGTGCCAAACGGACCGTTTTATGAAAACGCCGGCAAACAAATCATGTCACGAGCTTTGATTGATTTGGTCTTTTAAAACATTATTTATTAAATGAAATGTTAGTGACTATTGATTATACCGTACACTTGTTAGTCATTAATTGATTCAATTATATGTTATGTTATATTTGTTATAAATATTGATATTAACGTAAATTATTGTATAATTGTTAATGTCTTAGTTTTGATTAGATTTGATGCTTGAGAGCTGAACACAATTGTATTGCATATACTTTGGCACCCGTTGTGTGTGTTATGATTGTTTCATTTTGTCTAAGATGGGGATCACCTGATCAAAAGATGGTCTCTTCCCGGGCTCTTCATTCATGCAGATTCTGATGAGTCGCGCCATATGTGGTGAAATGCCCGGAGGAATGGTCACTCTGAGCGCTTCCAACGCCACTTTCATGCCTATCTCCATGGGTGAGAGATCAGCGAAAGGCACTTGTCTTGTGGCCAATTCCCAGAGCAATATAGCGAAGGACCACATGTCGGCCGCTTTGACGTTGATGTCGGTGTGTTTCTTCTGGAGGGCCTCGGGTGCCATCCACGACGGGTTATACACTTTGTTGCGCTCCTGGAATGAGAACTTGGCGTCAGCCATATTGATCCGCGCCGTCAGGTCCTCATCGATCTGTCAACGCATATAAATGATAGCATTTCTATTCAATCGACACAAACGTATTCTTATATACCATAACATGTTTTGATGATAAGTAGAGCCGAGGAATTAATGGACTCAAAGTATGCAAGAAAGCCATTCCTCTGGCGATATCAATGGCAAACTTGAGAGCTTTATGTGTGTCGACGACAATACCGGTTCCCTCGTGAAGAACCTGATAAAGGCTTCCGTATTGCATGTGTTGGTTAACAACAACCAAATTTGGCGGTGAATTAACACAACCGATAACTGGCAGTACATTTGGATGAGAAAAGATTCGAAGTCTTGGGAACTCCTCGGAGAAATCTCTTGGAATTCTGGCCGCCATTTCGCCGACAACGGCCACAAATTTGGCACAAATCTCACTGTTATTCCTCTGCCAAACACCTCTCCAGGTCTCCCCCGAAGGACTGGACGCTATCTTGTGTTGCAAATGCAGTTCATTGAGACTCAGACCGGAATATCGGGAAAGAGTGGCGTCACGTGATCTGGATTTGGTGCCCAACCAGGACTGGTCCTTATACGGGATCTTTTTGGTCACGTCTTGACCCAACTCTGTGGCCAACTCGTGGAGTCGCTGTTGCATTTGACCCTTACATTTATCTAAAGGCGTTTCTCCGTATTTGTTGCTTATGTTCACCAGAGCTCCACTAGTGATGAGTTCTTCAGCGATGTGTTGATACCCCCAGAAGCAGGCGTAATGGAGGGCAGTGTTACCATGCTCATTCACCGCATTCATGTCAGCCTTGTGGCGGATCAGTTGGTGGACCACATCCTTGTGTCCCTGCGCTGAGGCCAAGTGGAGTGAAGTGTCGTCTCCCATATTTGTGGCGTTAATTCGGGCGCCCTTTCCGATCAACATCTCCACCAATCCATTACGTCCGGCAAATGCTGACCAATGCAATGGACTGAAGCCATGATCATCACTGCAACCACAAGTGGCACAATTGGCATCAACACATTCATTACTTCACTCAAATGGTATGTCTTATGTCTTACCCCTGGTTCATGTCATGGGTGGTGTCGTCCAGCCATACCCGCACTTGAAAAGCATTGCCATCTCTACACCAATTGAATATATCATCCATTCTTCAAATTCAATTCAATTTAACAATTGCTTTGCTTTTCAGGTCAACACTGTTTATGGCTTTCTCTATAAGGCAATGGTTTGTGTACTTATTTGGCTATAACTCCCATCACTGTATCACTGCATACAATGTTATACTGTAAACTTATACAGTATTACGTACAGTGTATGCACTCAAGTCTGTACATCACTTACTCTCTTACAGGCATTAATGACGTTAAGGGATGCCATGTATTGCCTTAAGTTGAGGACCACAACCAGCACTTGTCAACCACTAAGGGGTTACCCCTTAACCCCTTTAACCCTCTTATCACTTATCCCAAACTATCATCAATGCTAACCCGCTATACACTTGTGCACATTTAAGATCACTAAACGGTTCCAATATGTTTAATAGTTTATCACAACATTCATAATAGCTTTCAAATGACACAAATAAGTTAACAACACTTGTAATGACAATAAAAATATAGAAATTTAATGAACAAAAGTATTGATCAATTAATAGCCAGTGATTTGCGGACCAGTTTATCTGCAATCCTATAGAACTGTGGTCTGTCTTCGCGCCACATCTTAGCCGCGTCCACATTAGCTCCGGACTCGTCGTTAGGCTCGGCCAACATCGACACCACAGATAACAACACTTTCTCGACACTCTGAACGGGTGACCAGCGCTCAGCACTCGACTCATAGCCCATCGGGTCGTCTCCCGGCGCGTGAAGTATTGATATACAGACTCTTCCGTCGGCGTAGATATTCGGGTGAAACATATCGGATATGAATTGCATTTTTGGCGGTGAAAGCGGATAATCGTTGGGAAAAGTCAATCGCGCTGTGAATACTCCGCCATCAAAACAAGTGCCCTCTGGACCTGTGATGAGCGCTTCCCACTCAAAGAAGTTCTCCTCGTCGATGGGTCCGGCAATTATGCCTTCGGGCGGATTCAATGTCAACTGCTTGTACTCTGCCATCAGTCGTCGCAGAGCTGATCCCGCCATTTGCTCCTATCGTAGTTAACCATTGATTATCATATCATAAATAAGAGTCAAGTGTTTGTCAATCATTTACCAAATGTATTGTAATTACAGTTAGAGTTAAAGGGATCAGTACTGAAGGTCAAGCACTGACAACACTGACAACAAAACAATGTCACACAATATGTGTTATACTTCTGGCAAACACTTCACTCACAATCAGATCAGTTGTTTGATATGACAGGTATTTACAGCGACGACAACCACAAGTCCACAACCAATGCATTCATTGTCATATCAATTGCTTATCAATAGTTTTGTCATCATTCATACATTCAATCACATGTTGCAAGTGTTGGTCTCGAGTCTAACATATCCTTTGCTATACTTATAGAGTGTATCACATATTTGGGGGCAGTTTTGGCACACAATATGGTAACAGCATATGTGATGAGTCCATATGAGGATAGGCTGTCATAGAGTCTATGACTGACTCAATCTGAGTGTTGTGTTATTAAAGCGGATATAAATGTATGAATGGTTTTGCAATTTGCAAATTATTTGTCTATTTTTCTACATTTATATAATTGTCTATAAATTGTGATAATTATGTAAACACTGAATATTTGGTTCATATATTTGAATGCATTGTATTTTTATATATTATTACTATTATATACTGTTTGATACGATTTAAACCATTTACTAATTGATTACAAATGACTGACAATAAATTGAAAGACAAGAAGAATAAGAAGAATAAATTGGTAAGTATTGAGACAATAGGATGTGTTGAATGTGACACTCATACCATTGATGTTGTGTTTGATAGCAGGATGTGTTGACTGGAAGCGTTAGTACAGTGTTTAGCTCCAAATCCAAGAACAAGAATGCAAACAATAACAGCAGCGATGGCTCTAATAACCAAAGCGGTGGTTACGGCGGCGGCGGTCACAACACTGGCACTCATTTGGGGCTTAACTGGCGGACAGACACTCAGCCATCACTTAACAGACCCAATAGTGAAGAATTTGGTACTAACTATGAGGTGAATGCTATGACAGGCGGTGATGAGAGGCACATGTCTCTACCAAACTTGGATCAGTTGACTGACGACGACATTAACATTCAGTTTGAGTCAATGCTTGTAAGTGTTAGCGTTTGTTGAATGATATATCAATTGAGTGATGGTTTTGTATCGAAAGGATGACATGAATTTGACTGAAGAGAAGAAGAAGCCTTTGAGAGCGAGTCGTATGGAGCAGAAGAAGTCACTGCTTGGGGCGCACTATAAGCAGAAGTTTGCGTCCAATAGATCCCGATTTGTGACACCCAATGATTACGTGAAGTTTCTTCAGGAGAATACAGACATTTCAAGCGAAAAGCTCTACCGTTGTATTGAATCGTTACGAATAGAGTTAACTAATAAACCCGTTTCGTGGGTCAAACAATTTGGCCAAAATCAAGGTCTTCAGTGTCTGCTTTCGGTTCTCAAAAATTGCTACCAATGCCAGGGCTCGTCCGCACGACAGGCCCATAAAGTACAGCACGAGTGCATCAAATGTCTTAAGGCCCTCATGAATAACACGGTATTTACTGTATTTGTTTGATTCAAATGTAAATATTGACCAAATGATTGATTACTGACTCGAAGGCCGGTATAAACCAAGTGTTTGAGCACAAGGAAGCGCTGACAATATTGGCGCGTTCTCTGGACCCGAACCAGACAACTGTGATGAGCGAAGTGGCGGAACTGTTGGCCGCTCTCTGTCTGGTCAACAAAGACGGCACCAATGGTCACGACAAAGTGCTCGAAGCGATGACTATTTGTGCCGAACAGAACAACTCTGTCGACCGATTCTCGCCGATCATCGAAGGCATGCGCAACGCTGGGAACGTGTCCTTACGACTGGCGTGTATGCAACTCATCAACGCTGTCATCACCAACAATGAAGACTTCGACTTCAGACTCCATCTCCGCAACGAATTCTTTAGGACTGGTTTTTACGATCTTTGGGACGACTCTCTCCTTCCCCTCATTCAACAGCACAACGACTCGGAAGAGTTGGTGACTAAGAATTTGCACACAAAGACACCGAATGAAAAGTTGGTTGATATGATCAATGTGTTCAACAATGCCAAAGATGAAGACTTCGAGGAACTCAACCAACGCTATGATAACATTCGCTTCGAGTTGGACGATATGGATGAGTGCTTTAATCTGATTAAAAACAGTGTCCGCAACACTCCGGCCGACAATCATTTGCTCTCAGTTTTCCAACATTTGCTTCTCATTAGAGACGACGTTTACTCGAGGTATAGGTGTTTGCAAATACAGTACTCTATTCTATAAACTATATCTATTTTTGTTTTGATAGACCCGCTTATTATCGACTTATCGAAGAGTGTGTGTCACAGATAGTACTGCATAGGAATGGTGTGGACCCTGACTTTAGACACACCAAACGGTTTAAGATAGAAGTGGATTACGTGATCGAACACATTGTCGAACGCTCTAAAGAGGAGGACCACAAGACTAGCTCTGATCTGAACAAAAAGCTCGAGGAAGCGTTGACTGACAAAGAGGAAACAGAGGCTAAACTGCAACAATTGCAGATCAGATTACAACAACTCGAAACTGACACCCAATCCAACAAATCTAAACCCATTCCAAACATTGCCATTCCTCCCCCTCCCCCTCTACCCACTGGAGGTCCTATACCACCACCGCCTCCATTGCCACCCATGACTGGTGGCTCAATACCACCGCCGCCCCCTTTTCCACAAATGTCTGGAGGACCGCCGCCACCACCACCACCTCCCCCGCCTGGTGGCGGACCTCCACCCCCACCCCCTTTGCCTGGAATGGGTTTGCCTCCTCCCCCGCCACCCGGTTTAGGTTTACCTAATGCTATGCATTTGAATGCAAACCAAATTGAGTTTCCTTACGATATTAAACGTAAGAAATATGAACCAAAAACACCACTAAAGAAACCAAATTGGAAAAAGGTTTATAACAAACGACTGCTTTAATTGGCAATAACTAACTGATTGCTATGTTTTGGTTACAGTTAACTCCAACCAAAGTGTGTGAGGACTCCATTTGGGTTGAGATCAAATGTGACGACCAATTGGTCGGTGAAGATGTATTCGACTCACTGTCTATGCAATTCTCATCGGATCCACACCATAGAGTGCCTAAAGAGCTGACAAATACCAGCGAAAAAGTTCAAACTATTAAGAAGACTAAAGAACTTAAAGTTTTAGATACAAAGACCGCCCAAAACTTATGTACGAATTTTAATTCATTTACTCTATATTTATGCCAATTATTATTTGCAGTGATTTTGTTGGGATCTGTGAAGATGTCAGCCGAGGAATTAAAGAATCATATTTTTTCGGTCAATGAACAAGACTTGAGTGAAAATATTTTACAGCAAATTCTTCGATATCTACCGCCAGAGAACCAACTCTTAAAACTTGAAGAGTCTCGCAATGAAATCGATAGTTTACACGAAGCAGAGAGATTTGCGCTAACTGTAAGGCTCACTATTAATCTCTTCATATTGTCTAATTATTCTCTCTCTCTCTCTCTTCTTCATGTTCTCATTCTTGGCGTCAATGAACTGGTCTTTGAATGACTTAATATCGCTGAAGAACTCATCCATTGTGTACTACGCTGGCTCTGCTTTCGCACAAACCAAACGCAAACGACAACAACGATCTCTCAATAGTTGGGTTCAATCAAAGGATTGGTTAAGAGATTGAATGCCATTTCATTTAAGATGAAATTTAAGGAATCAGTTCAAGACATACAGCCAGATGTGGTCAACGCGACCATCGCTTGTGAAGAGTTGCGGAAATCTCCCAAATTTGCGTTAATTGTAAAGTTAGTTCTTGTTCTCGGAAACTATATGAACGCTGGCTCTCGAAATGCACAGTCGATAGGCTTTGAGATTAGTTTTCTGCCAAAACTGAGTTCTACTAAAGCGGCAGATAATAAGTCAACACTTTTGCACTTTTTGGCACAAACTGTAGAACAGAAACATCCGGAATGTCTTAATTTCTGGGAAGAAATCATTCACTGCGATAAAGCGGCCAGAGGTTAGTCTATGGGTGATTGAAATGACGTTATTTGTAATGATTTATTTGATTAGTATCTCCGGAACAAACACTGAAGAATCTGAACGCTATGCGCAAAAGTATCAAAGAATTAGATTTAGATCTCAAGAACTTTAAGCCATTGAACAGTGAAGACAAGTTTGGAGACATAATGTCCAAGTTTTTGATAGAAGCCAAGGATAAGTTTCAAATTCTTGAACATCAGTTCAATAAAATGGACCGACTTTTCACTGAAATCGCCAGATATTATACATTTGATCAGAAGAAGTACACAATGGATGAGTTCTTTAGCGATATTAAGTCATTCAAAGACCAGTTCATTGACGCCAAGAATGAGAACATCAAGAAGAGAGAGATGGAAGAGAAGATGAGGCGCGCAGTGAAAGCCAAAGAACAGGCAGAGCTCGAGAAACTGGAGAGAAAGTCGAAACGAGTGAACCTCGATATTGCCAAAGACCAGGAGGGCGTTATGGACAGCCTTCTCGAGGCACTCCAAACTGGCTCTGCTTTCGCACAAACCAAACGCAAACGACAACAACGACCTCTCAATCCCAACGGTAATTACTAAACACTAATTACTAACCATTAATGCCTTAAACTAACAAAACTAATATATCGTAGATCGCCGTCAAGTACTCAATAGGACTCGTTCTCGCAATTCCCTCGAAAACACACTCCTTTCATCCAAACCCTCTAACAATAGAAAAGCAGAATCTGAACGCTATGCGCAAAAGTATCAAAGAATTAGATTTAGATCTCAAGAACTTTAAGCCATTGAACAGTGAAGACAAGTTTGGAGACATAATGTCCAAGTTTTTGATAGAAGCCAAGGATAAGTTTCAAATTCTTGAACATCAGTTCAATAAAATGGACCGACTTTTCACTGAAATCGCCAGATATTATACATTTGATCAGAAGAAGTACACAATGGATGAGTTCTTCAGCGATATTAAGTCATTCAAAGACCAGTTCATTGACGCCAAGAATGAGAACATGAAGAAGAGAGAGATGGAAGAGAAGATGAGGCGCGCAGTGAAAGCCAAAGAACAGGCAGAGCTCGAGAAACTGGAGAGAAAGTCGAAACGAGTGAACCTCGATATAGCCAAAGACCAGGAGGGCGTTATGGACAGCCTTCTCGAGGCACTCCAAACTGGCTCTGCTTTCGCACAAACCAAACGCAAACGACAACAACGACCTCTCAATCCCAACGGTAATTACTAATTACTAACGTAATTACGGAATTTGATTGTTTTGATTATATAGCATCTAGCGGCAGTTCATGAGTTATCCTGAGCAAGAGCGTTAAGGGAGCTTTTGTGTGAGGAAAGTAGGTTTGGGAGATTGTTATCTTTTCGTCACTTTTAAGTCATAATACTATAAGTGTTGAGATGTTTGCAGTAAATTATTGATTTGTATATAAGTGCTTACAATTGTATATGTGATGGCTTTTATCAGATACATGACATGTATTTGTATTGTTTTAAAACTTGTGCCTTCAATTCACCAGAAGGTGAGTGTGAACTCAACTATAACCCAGCATTAACTGTCTTTTAGAGTTGGAGTACAAACTATTTACAGCCTTAAACTCAACTAAATTAAACTCAACAAAACAATTAATTGAAAGTTTATTTTTGATATATTTGTGTTAAAATATTGACCAATCAATCACTTAAGTATGTGTTGTACAAGCCTTGATATAAAACATGTATTTTCCAAAACCTATATAAAACTTAATATTTTACTGTGAAATTGATATAATATTCATATTTTCTTACGAAAATACATTTCTCTATTTGTATATTGATTAAATATAAGCCAATTATTTGTTAAATTGTTTTATCATTAAATTGTAATTCTTTTACTATTAAACGTATTAATATATAATCTATATATTTTGTTACCTTTAAATTTTATTGAATAAAAATTTATCTAAAATTCAAATCAAATTAACGACTTTCGCCGCATATAGTTGCAGTGCAATTATATCTAGATCTCTAAGTCGGGGTGCAATTATATCCGGATAGAGTTGCCCTTGGTTTTGCTATCATTTAGGCATTTATCAAAATTCACATATAGTTGCTCTCAAACTCACATAATATCAAACTGTAAAGTTGACTAAAAGTTTTTTTGTAAATTATATGCTTCCCTTTCCTATCAATTGGTGTGCGTTTTGTTTAATGTGAATGAGTGTCAGGTATTTGTGACACAATGTCTGAAATAATTGAGTTATCAAATGAACAATCAATGGATGGGTTGCAACAGATAGCGAATACATTAGATTTGAGTGAAAGTAACCCTTCATTCAATGCAAGTCAAAGTGAAAGCAATGTAAACAGAGAGTGGTAATAGAGGTCAGAGTCGGACAACTACTATATGTAACTATTTCTGTATTTCATTTCATTAATAAAACTGTTGGAATAACTAACCAATAAATGTGTACAGAGATTGGGGGCAATTATATGTGAGTTTTTAATATGGGGGGCAATTGTATCCGGATATAATTGCACTGGTTTAGCACTTTTGAAATTTGCTTAAAATCTTGATATAATTGCATGCAATTCTATGCGGCATAAGTCGTTAAGAGCAAATTTTTTCATTAAAAATGTTTATTTGTTACCGAATTTAATGAATTAATTCAAACAAATAAAAACAAGTTTTGAATAAAGATTTTGAGACAGTTATCGATTGAGTTAAATATAATAAATGTTCGATTGGTATCGTATTTTGGTTTCAAAAGTATTTTTTATATTTGTATTCTTATATTGCGATTACATTCAATAATTACAATAAAAATATCATTACTTGTTGTTAATCTAATGTGAGTTAAAATTAATTAATTGAAAAAATATTAATTATATAATAATAATAATAAAGTATAATTCATATGTCGATTATAAATGAGTGACTTTTAACAACTATTTGAACAAAGCTTTCAATAAATTTACTGAATTTATTAAATAACTCATTATTTGATTGGACTTATGGTTCAAACAATGGCTAATATGTAATAAATTGATAGCCTTTTCATATAAAGACAACCAATTGTGAAAAAAAGATAGTATTTATCGACAATTAATTAATTATAATATAAGTGAATACAGCACTGAATTAGTGAACAATTAATAAGTATTATAAGTTTTGAAAAAGAAAGAAAAGTTAGCCTAATGTTGGTATGAATCGGGAGAGGGGAGTGTGGCTAACGAGCGCCAGCGGGTCCACCGGTTTGGTTGACATTCTGCGAAGAGGAGCCACCGGACTGTGCGGCTGATTGGGCCGCCTTCTGCTTCAACATTGTCCAGTCGAAGATGTAGTCGTACTGATGGTTCAAAGTGCGGAATAGTATGCGAAACAATTGTCTTAAATACATATAATCGGGCGCCTCTTCGAACCGCAGACCTCGACAATAGTTGAGATACATAGAGAACTCTGCGGGATATCCCTTACATAACACTTCGATAGGAGTGGACATCTTCTTCTCCGATATCTTCTCGTACTTCTGTTTCTTTGTGGCGGCTTTGAGTCCCTGCCAGGGAAGTGACCCCCTATTGAAGTACATCAACACATAGCCCAACGACTCGATGTCGTCCCGACGCGACTGCTCGATACCTATCAAACCATACATTAGTTATCATTAGTCATACATTGGTGTCAAGTGTGTGTCAGTACCCAAATGTGCATTGATTGAAGCATAGCGTGCGGTTCCGGTCAGGTTCTTGTCCTCCCTATAGGGGATGTGTTGTCGAGTTCTGTTGTCTCTGTACTTCTTAGCCAACCCGAAGTCAATGAGGAATAGTTTATTGCAATGCCTTCCGATTCCCATCAGAAAATTATCGGGTTTTATGTCTCTATGAATGAAGTTCTTGTTGTGGACGAACTCAATGCGTCCGATCATCTGATCCGCGAGCATAAGCACTGTCTTCATTGTGAAGCGACGGCTGCAGAAGTTGAACAGATCCTCAAGACTTGGACCCAATAAGTCCATCACCAGAACGTTGTACTCCCTTTCCTGACCATACCTTCAATGATAAGCACGTGTTGTACTGTATTGTATGCATTGAATGGACTCACCATCGGATGTGAGGGATACCGACGCCTCCCTGTAATAGCTTATAGAGCTTCGACTCATAGAGAAGCTGCGGATGACGTGCTTTGGTTGACTCCAATTTGACGCCAACTTCTTCGCCGTTTGTGATATTAATGCCTAAATAAATGTCACCAAAACTTCCGGAACCGATCTTTCGGACCAATCGATACTTCGCGCCCACAATGAACTCAGAGCGCGAAGACACTGAACTCGAAGCCATTGTGCGATCAATTCAACCGATTATTGCAAAGATATCAACACAACTCGAGTTAACCACTTATGCTTAGGATTACCACTTTGGCCACAAACCCATGCAAACCACTCAATCCAAGCAATGCAACCCAATTGTGGTCGAGAGTCGAGTGGAACTGATGTCAAGTGATGTGAAGAACAGATAGTCTTTGTTGTGATAAAATGGCGACGACTGACGACTCAACACAACTCAACACTCAATACGTCTCAAACACAGCGCAGATGAGCACTGATCGCATTGACTGCACGCACTGTACTCACACTCACTCTCCTATGCATACAACTCATACAGTGAGCCCAACAATGCTCTCAATGCACACTATTGTGCACAACAACACACTCACAGCTGATTATGACATACAGAAAGTACGTCAACACAACATCTGTCAAGAGTTGTCCCTTTTTGTGAACAATTGGTGACAAAATTGAGACTAACTTTTAGTTTAATCATTTGGATAAAGAGAGGACACGGAGGACAGGTATAAGAGCACGACATTGACAATCGTGAATCAATTTAATCATTGAGTGTATTATTGGTATAAAATGTAATTATCTCTCCAACTGTGCCCTCTGTATGGCTTCGTTGACCACTTCGCGCATCTGACGGATCACTTGTTGAGGAAGGGGTGCGTTGACGACAGCAGTTCCCGAAACGATCCAATTGGCGCCCGCGTCCGCACACTCGCCGATTGTGTTGAGTCCGACGCCTCCGTCCACTTCGATGTCAAGCTTTGCATATCTCTGTCGCAAAGCCTCCACTTTGGACATCATATTTGACATAAACTTTTGTCCGCCTGTAAGACACATAACAACTGGTCATTAATGGGATAAGAGTTGATAACTACTGACCAAATCCGGGTTCAACTGTCATAACGAGTACGCAATCGATGTCCTCAACAAAAGGAAACACGCTTTGGACGGGAGTATTGGGTTTGAGGGCCACTCCGGCCCTCATTCCTGCCTCACGTATGTGTCGAATGCAATCATTCACTTCATTATCACCATTAAGTGCTTCCAAATGAAACGTGTATTGATTGGCTCCGGCGTCAGCCATGGGTTGGATCCACCGCTTGGGCTCACTCACCATCATATGCATGTCGAAGAGGGCCACCGGCACTGCCTTTCGCAGACACGACACCATCGGGTGACCAAATGTCAAGTTAGGTACGAAATGGCCGTCCATTACATCCAAATGCAGATAATCGGCGCCACTATTGAGTAGTTTCTGAGATTCAGTCGCCAATGAAGACAAGTCTGCGTTGAGAATCGACGGTCCGATCCATGCCTTTAATCCACTCATTGTAGACATTATGTTAACCAATAAATCACTAACAGATCTTAATTGTAGATCAAATCACTTCTAGTAATACAGTATTTATAGTTTAATATCTAATCATTTGTTAATATTATTTCCTTTAAGCTATTCTAATATAGAAATGTGCAAATGTCCAAGGGTAAACTTAATAGTTAGTACAATGTACACTGTACTGTACTGTACAACATAGTTATTATACATATATTATTGATATGAGAGCGCCAAAATCAAAACATTTAATTGAATCAGGGCAATTTATGAACATTTAGTAAGTTTTGAAACTTGGTTTGAGTGGAATTCAATCTAAAGGAATTGTTGATATGAAAAGTTGTCTCAATTTGTCATTCATATAATAAATGGTAAATTAATGAGTGCTGAATAAGTTGAGGCAATTCTCGGCTTTCAGTTTTCAAATACTGTAGTAGTAATAGGTGTTGATTATTACTGACCCAAACCATTGCGATCTTAGTCAACAATTATTATGTAAGTGATGAGACCCGTGATAAGACATGTTCATAAATGTTGTGTATGTGTCCCAAAGGACATCGATTGCGTACTGGTTTGTGTCAGTCAACACCTATTACTGTACTACTAAAGTACATAGATTTGATGTTATTTGCTAAAAACGGTTAAATTTTGAATAAAATTAATCAAATATGCTATTATTGCACACCTCCTGCCCTCTACACCATCACCACTACTAATGCCGACCACAACCACTATCCTTGACTTGATCGCACACCTACTCTAACATTGACCAAGAATCAATTGGAATGTCATTAAATCTGTACTGCTAACACTTGATGATTCCTTTAATATACAGACACAACAATTATGAATTAGTCAATGAAAGATCAAACATCCACTATTCAGATAATGATAAATACATAGAAAATTGATAATTATTATTATCCTTTGAGAAAATGAACATCATTTAGAATTAGCCCTTTTTAGCCCTTTTCTGTTAGCCTTACGTATTAGTAATACGGTATTACCATCATGATGTTTTAGTGAATATTAGCTGCATTTGAAACAGAATCTGATTCTGATTTTGACGGATTTGAGTGACTACATATAATTTATTGTAACTTTATTAATTGAATAAAATTTATATTTATTAATTATTTATTTGTTTAATTTGCTATAATTTTAAAATTAGATAACCCGCACATAAGAATTCTCTAAAAAAATTCACTTTTCCAATTGATAACCCGCGGGTAATGCACAAGATTTTAGGATAATTAATTAATGTTGCTATGAATCCAATCAATAAAAGCTGATACTTTAGTGTAAACTCCTGGATATTCTGTAAATAATAATTGCAATTGATTGAGAATTGTTGTGTGAATTGAGATATTGAATGCATAATTACTGGGTTCGGCACATCCCTTGCCCCACGAAACTATGCCCAACTGTACGTAACGCCCGTCTCTCTCCTCATTCACAACAGTCATAGGACCCCCAGAATCGCCCTTTCATTCAATCAATACAAATACAAAACTAAAGGAATTACAACAATGTTTTCATACCTGACACGAGTCTCTCTTTCCGGTCACAAATCCGGCGCACATTTGTTTTGATGTAATCATAAGTGAATTATAACTTCGTGAACATTCTCTGTTAGTAATGATGGGCACCTGTACTTGTCTTAAGTAATCACTGGTCTGTCCTCCGGCTGATGTGGTTCCCCATCCAATTAGTTGTGCCATTTGGTGGCTATAATCGCGTGATTGCATGTCTGCGTCGGGCAGACATACGGGTGATATATTGAGGGTTTTATTGAAGTCAATTGCGTCAACCAATTCATACAATGCGATATCGTTTTGCATAAGCCGTTCGTCATATTTATTGTGAACCAAAACTTTGTGTACTCTATAATACATGCCTTCATAGCGTCGATCATGAGATCCGATGAGGAGTCGAATATTTTCTGGTTTTGTGATGCGATTGTTGTGCGAAACACAATGAGCCGCACCCAACACATGCCGAGAGCTGATCACTGAAGCGCCGCAAATAAACTTGTAGTTTTGAAAACTAGATCCCGAACCCGTATACACGGCCACAGCCCACGGCCACGAGTGAGCCGGTGCTACACTTCCTCCCACAATAAATCCATAGTCTTTTTTCAAATTACGAGATCCACAAACTGAGTGATTAGTGATCACACATTCAAATAAAACCACATTTCAATCAACATTATTTCAAATTGTTACAAAAACATTTAAACAATTGAATATTATTTTGGACATCAAGTCTCAAGCAAATAATATTAAATTAAATTAAATTTCAAAATTTTATGACATATTTGTTTCAAATCATCTGGTCAGTCTAAATGCAACATGTTACTAAAAATACTGAATTTTGAGTGTAAAATTTGAAACATTTATATTATAAAATTTAATTTGGAAAAATTGTTAAATTATAGAATACAGTAGTATGATTCATGATAGCCTATCATCTTTTCATTATTAATGCATAACTGCAATCTATTTATTATTTATAAATTAATATTAGATTAGGTTAAAATATGAAAGTTATTGTTTGTAATAAATATTGAAAGAACCAATATTTATAAATATTGGTACTTTATAAACCACATTAACATTACAGGTACTAATGCTACAAAATATTCTACACACTTATATTGCAAATAACAAGCATATATGATTATATAATTATATGAATTACTTTTAATTTAAATAATGATAAAATATTTAACAAAGTAACTTTTTAATATGGTAATATATAGAATGTATATGATAATACCAATATGCTTTTGTGTTGATGATGTAACCGTTTGTGAAATAGTGGAAGAATGAAGGGATGATATGTGTGGCCATTGAGTGGTTGTAGTGATCCATGTGTTTACAGAATTGTTGGACAAATTGGCGAAATTATTCCACAAATTGTTTATCGAAGACCAGAATGTGTTAACTCTTTTCTCATTAAATTGTGTGCAACATATAGTTGTATCGTCCGAACAGTTCCCTAAAACACTGGAATTAAAACCATCACAAAGCGATGTCATAACACAAATTCCTGCTTTTCCTTCATTTGTTATACAATTCTCTACTAACGTATTATTTTGCAAATTATTAGCAAATGAATGTTGTATTGCTATACAAATTAACAAATATAATAACATTATCAATGTCATTCTTTCAAATAACATCAACGTAATCATATAATAAGATACTCTATAAAGTATATATTTTGTTATACACTTTTCAATTTTATACTGTAGCTGTTACTAATTTTCTGTGCAAAATATGATAAATGTCAATAAACCTCGGTCGATTTATTACTATTAATATTTTACAGCTAGCAAATAATTTTCAAGTGGCTTACAATCAAAATATTGTACTTTAATTATTACTGGTATTTATTTTCCCACAAATACTGAAGTTATAAAATATGTTATTTTGTAGAATATTGTAGAGATTGAAAAATGATCATTATAGCAACATTAATTCCTTGCTATTGATATGATCACACTTCTATAAATGAAATGTTAATTAAAATTGAAGATGGTTGGAGAGGGTTGAGGAGGGGTTGGGGAGGATTGAGGAGGGTTGAGGTGTTTTTTCATTGTTTTGTCAGTTGGGTGTGGAATATAGTCCAGAATGTGTTAAAATGCCCCCATTATGTGATTGTGTGAATGAAAGTGATGTAAAACTGTTGCTGAGGGGAACCTACTTCTAGAACTCGATTCACTCGCTTTGGCACTCAATTAGAACAATTGGAATCTGTATTAATAATGTGTTGTTCCAAAACGGAAACTCTATTCTCATTGCCAATAGTATTGACAACACATTGAATACAGTGCTCGCAAACAATGCAAATGTAAGGCACAAACAAAGGGTCGGAGGAGGCCGTGTGCTAGTCATTAGAGGAGATGTCCTGTATATGACACCAAAGTTGGACAATATTCAGTGAAGCCATCCACTGATTGGACAATTTGTTAGGCAAAATTGTATTAGAGTCTGCAGTTTAAAATGTACAACACTGTGTCAATCTTCCCGCATAGACCTAATGTTAATTTTTCCCAAGTACATTTTCTTGAATTTGTTGTTCGTTGCAAAAGTATATTGATTTGGTTTTGATGATACTTTGGTATCATATATTTGGACACTTTTTCTAATAAATAGTATACCGCTTCCCTCCGACTCCTTCACTTAGACTGGAACCATAACAGAGCATAATATGTTCCAAAATGTCTATGATTTGTAACAAAAGTTATTGAAAGTGCAATTCATTAAAAACATGATATCAAACAAAACTATGGATTAACGTGTAGTTCGGTAATGCAAAAAAGTTACTTCGGACGAGTTGTTAAATTGTTTGACTATATTATAACTATAATATAGTATTAGTGACGCTAGACACTTCCCTTCCAGGTCGAAATATATTTGGGAGGAAATATATTTTATCTTCTTGAAAAATAAGATAAAATGTGGTCAAACGATGACCAATGGGTGTATATAAAAAGTTTTTTCTAACTGTAGACATGTATCAAATACATGCATAACATGGGATCCCATGTTATTTTCCAAATAGCCTGCAATTTTAATACTGAATTGAGGTTAAAAATGATTTGGATTAAATTAAATTAATGGGTTAAATTAAATTGTATACAGTATTACTGTATTAATGTACAGTTCAATCATATTTTAGAGTTAGGTTTATTTGTAAGCAAACCGTTTTGGAGCATTTGTGGAGCATTTTTCATAGTTTTGCGCACAATAATGACTATTACAACAATTTGTTCATTTTAAAGCATTAGTTAAATTCTGATTCTCTAACTAATTCATAGTTTTTGTTTAGTCTGCATATTAAATGAATCATTTATTGGTTGCTTTATTTATTTGATCAATAAATAATGTTTTCAAATACAGTATAGTGTTTGTCAGCAAAGGCTGTATTGGCACTCGAGTTGACTCAACTCACGTCTAGTGTTATGTAATAATAGCTGTATTAATGTTTCAACGATTATATGTTTAATACATTTGAACTGAATTTACAGTCAATTGAATTGAATTGCAGTGAAAGTGAAGAATCGATTCAATGATTGTATGATTGGTTGAAATAAATGTGTCTCATATCAGATGAGATGACTGTTGTCCGCAATCCTGCGACCAATTGTTGTGATTTTGAGTGATTTGATGTCACCATTGATTGTAACCAATTATTAGTTGCTATTGAGTGGTAATGTCTTCGCAGATGATGTACACCATGTGTCCACATATCGACCAATTGGCGGACTTTTCATTGGATGCCATAATCTCGCGAAAGAGTTGTGAGATATGCGGCAGTTGTGGACCCAATCTATGGGTTTGTGTCACCGACTCATGCAATCTGTTCACAGCGTGTGGCGAAGGAGTGGCCGATCACTCCACACATCACTACACATCACATCCCAGCCATCGATTGACACTCAACTCAACCACTTTCAGGATCTGGTGCTATGAATGCCAGACCGAAGTGATGGTTGACAACAACACGACTCTGAAAGACAACAATAAGATGGACACAAACGGCCACATTATGGCCAATCAGGTCTATGTCGCAGATATTACCGAAGATGAGACCACTGATGAGGAGGAAGTGCTGATAGGTTTGTATTAGAGTTAGTGATTGACAAATGCTGACCAGTGTTTGAATGTTGCAGATTCTGAGACTAAACCTCGAGGGCTAACAGGGCTTCAGAACTTAGGGAACAGTTGTTATATGAACGCAGCCCTACAGTCACTCTCCAATTGTCCACAATTGAGCCGATTTATGCTCGACTGTCACTCTTATGTCCGCAAACCTGGAATCGCTAAAAGCTATTGTCGTCTAATCAAAGATATTTGGGATAATCGTCGACTGAGTTATGTCGTGCCCACGAGTATAGCTCATGGCATCAAATCTGTGTTCCCGTTGTTTAGGGGATACACACAACAAGACGCTCAGGAGTTCCTGCGATGCTTTTTAGACCAATTGCACGAAGAACTCAAACAATCGCATTATAATGACGGCCAGTGTTTAGCTCATGGAAACCAGTACTGCATTCATCTCAACAACAATAATAATCCTAATATTGAAAACAAAACTAATAATAATTTAGTCTTTAATGACAGCAATAGTGATTCGGAGACCAATTCTGATGCCGATTACGAAACTTGTGATTCGGGTCTGAGTTCAGAGAAAAGTGCTTTCGGAGGCGACGACCTCGAGATGAATGGTGATAATGGCGAAGACATGACAACAGGTGATGACATGGAGTTGAAGAGCCCATCTCCTTCTTCTCCTTCTCCGACCATTGGTTCATCTGTGACCACATCTGTGACCACATCTGTGACCACATCGTCCCCTCAATCACCTCAAAGAGGATCAATGGCTAGCAATCAAAGCCAATCTCATGTGCCGAGTGGACAGTCAGCCCAAACCCAAACGCCCCGCAAACAACCCACTGATAGAAGGGGTAAAAGTGTGACAACATTTCGAAGTATTATATCAGATATATTTGACGGAAGAATTCTTAGTTCTGTTCAATGCCTTAAATGTGATAACATTTCGACCACAAGAGAGACATTTCAAGATTTGTCACTTCCGATCCCCAGTAGAGAACAGTTACTTATGTTAAGACAACAACAGCAACAGCTCTCACAACTTCACAACATTAACCAAACTCTCAACACATGTGTGTCTCAAACGATGAGCACATCTCTGATTGATTTGACGAAAGACAATGTGACCGGTATTTACAGTTGGGTTTGGGATTGGATCGATTGGTTCATGGGTTGGATCTTAGGCCCAACTGTTACACTACAAGACTGTTTGAGCGCATTCTTCTCAGCCGATGAGTTGAGAGGAGATAACATGTATTCCTGTGAGAAGTGCAATAAATTACGAAATGGTGTCAAATATTCAAAAGTCTTAGAATTACCAGAAATATTAAGTATTCATCTCAAGAGGTTTAGACACGAACTGATGTATTCATCCAAAATATCAACACATGTGGCGTTTCCTCTCGAAGGTATCTTACCATCAATTGTCACATACCATACAATAAGCTAATGATTGGTCGTATTTGTATTACAGGACTCGACATGTCTTCGTATATGGCTTGTAGTGCCGGCGCTAACCATCAGTCAAACGAGAACAATACCTATGAATTGGTAGCCGTTATCTGTCATTTGGGAACCGCTGCTTCTGGTCACTACACAGCCTATGCACTGAATCAAAGCAATCAAGTGTGGTATGAATTTGATGACCAATATGTGACGTCAGTAGACCCGCAACAAGTGGCCAATTGTGACGCTTATGTGCTATTTTATCGCAAATCAAACGATGAGATGAATAAGCGTAGGGCGCGAGCACTGGAACTGATGAGACTGTCCCGCAACGAGCCCTCACTCATCAATTTTTACGTGTCTAAGCAATGGGTGAATCGGTTCAACACATTCTCATCTCCGGGTCCAATAACTAATTGTGATTTCCTCTGTCAACACAATGCTGTCGATCCCTCTAAAGCACCCATAGTTCACGAGTTGTGCACTATTTTCTCGCACTCGGTTTGGGAGTACTTCCAGATGACGTTTGGTGGCGGACCCGTCTGTACACAACTCTATGTGTGTCAGATCTGTTGCCCCGACAAAGACATGACTGATCGCAGGAAACGTATCAAACATAACAAATGCAATTCCACCCAATGATTGCCCAATGATTGCAACCATTCAAACATTGCACCAATTGTCACATTATTGTGCAAACATTGTCACATGTTTTTATTCGGCTATTTATCCCCAAATGCTTCTAATGTTTAATATTATATTTATTAAATATATAATATTAAATTGTAATTATTTTAAAGTTTATTATTAGGAATAAAATAAATGCATGTTTTGAATTGATATTGAACTCCTTACAATTTATTTCCAATATTCAATGTTGTGATCCGTAATGTCATTTCATTCATGATTATTCCACTATTATTTCAATTAAAACTTACATATTACGGTACATTCTAGTCGTTTAACACATTATAGTATAGTTACTACAGTATTATCCATTAATTTAAAGCTCATAAAATTCCCATGTTCCCAGGAGGGAATTTAAGGGGAAACTCCGGAAAATAAAAAGTGCAACAGGGAAATCAATAACAGCGGGAAAATATTCTACAAATATTCTATAAACCACATTATTCATACTGAATTGTGGTTAAAAATTATAAAAGTAATCTTATTTAATGCAGTAGTCGATGACTTTTACGGTCAAACGTCTTTTCTGTGAACATGGATGCTGTGAAAACATCATAACTTATGATTCATATGAACCTAAACCCAAATTCATACTTATTTAAAGATTAAAAATATTTTACAAAATGATTCAAATTCAACTAATTATTTAGATTAACCAAATCTTATTCTCTGTTATGTTTAAGAATGTTAGGGTACATGTAATAAATAATATTTATATTATGATAAAGATATTTATAATCATCGTTTGACCACATTTTTGTCTTATTTTCGTAATTTTAAGGAATATAAAGATTTTTGCGGCGGAATATTTTTTAACCAGTAATTTTAAATTAGTAAACTATTGCAAAATTTGTTTACTAGCGTTACTCGATACGCATATCTCTTTTAACTGAATCGAAATTTTTCTGATATATAGTATCATTACATAATATATGATATCTAAATTAAGATATAATATAATAAAGATATAATAAGATAATATCGATATTATTAATATTATTACGATATAAATCACAAAACCCTTTCCATTCATTTGTATAAAAATTAAACCTTTAAATCGATAATGGTAGTAAATTATTATTTATACTTAAAATTACTGATTATGACAATTATTGTCGTTAATTATATTACAATATGTTAATAATAATTTGCAATAATGATGATTTATGAATATTGTTTATGATTAGGGACATGAGTACATTATTTAATATACATACAAATATATATTTTATGTATATATGTATTAATGGAAAGGATTTGATGAGAGGAATAGAAAACTGAACGAATTGTGATGTGAATTAAAAAAGTTATTTAAACAAACAATTTGTTTGGCCAATAAAAATGATTACTACTCCCGTACAGGTCTTACAGATCTAATGACAAGCCATATAAAGACCTATCCTAATGGGTTATCCATTACATGTTAAATGGTGACCAGCATATGACCACCTATTAGGAATGGTCATTGTACTTCCAAAACAATCTAGAATCTAGGTCCTAGATAGATCTATCATACATATAAACATATTATGTTTATCGATAGAAACACCCCTATGCAACATTAATTTAACTAATAATTAAACTAGATATCCTATAACTTATCTTAATATTTTAACTTGTAAATAAGATTAATATTTTTAAAATCGGTAAATTGTTCATTAAATGATTCATTTATATTGTTTGATAACATGGTATGATTACTCGATTTTAAACATTGTTTTCTGTATAATTCAGTATCTCTGGTTGTTTATATCTTTATAAACTAATCAAGGTTTGATGTTTAACGTTTTATTATTGTATTATATTGAATAATATTAAAAATTTATAGCTCAACTAGATAATATTTTGCATTCAATCCCTACTATATATAAATAAATAGTGTATTTGTATTACATGATGTCTTAACATGATACATATACTTTAAAGTTCTTGTGTTGTATCTTAAAATATGAGTAAAACAAGTAAATGAACCGAGAGGTGGACGTTACGTATATACAGTATATTTATAACTCAAATTTTAGTGAATGTATTAATATTTGGTGTAAAATGAGGTTTTATTGAGGAGTAGTGTTGAGTACATTGTTTCCAATTGGGATAATATTTGAATAATAAGAGCAAGTATTGGATTGTTTGAAAGCATTTGCAGATCTAATTAAGCAGACATTGAACTCTTAAAGTTATTTTATTTTAAGAACTTTTGTGTCTTTAATGCCTTATAAGAGGTAAATGTTATATAAAGATAAGGCATAACACATATGTGTATAACAATGTGTTTATGTAATTATTTGAATCTCTGGTATTATTTCTGGCATTTTTAGGTCATAACAACAATTTTCTCATTTTTAACCACATTCTAGTTTTGCAACCTTTTAAACACTGACCGTAGTTTGAATATTGTGAAAATATTAGTATTACTTAGTTTTATTGCTATACATAAACATACATACAGTAAGTTTAATTGAATTTATAAATAAAATTCAATTCTATTGTATTCACATAATTTTAAATATGAAATAAACAGTAAATCTAATAGAAATTAGCTTTCATTTACTTTTAGATTTATGAATAAAGATGTTTCCAATTTTTAACCACAATTATGCGAATATATCTTTATTATACTGTACATTAAATATAATTCTTATATTTAAATTTGATTTACCATAATATATGGATATAAAAATAAATATTCCAAATTTAGATTAATATCTAAAATGATATATTGAATTGTAATCATCATTTGATGAATAGACTAGAATTTCAATTGGTATTGGGATAACCACATGAATGACTAAAAAATATCAATTTTTATAATTAAAGTGTTGACCTAATTGTAAACTTGATTCAAAGTTTGTATTTGTTTTGTTGTACTTCAAGAGTACTGTATTTAGCATTTCTATCAAATGGACAATAAATGGTAGAAAATGAAGTTTTATTAACTTTCGTCTAACGAGTTCTGATGGACTCATTTCCGACGGCTTGGGATGGCTTTGCATTGCTTTTCGACTCCAATTCGTTGAACACTTGCACTACTTTTGCATACATTTACGAACAACTATTTAAATAGTTGTTTATCTATTAAATTGGTTCAAATGACCGGCGGATACTGTGTTTTAGCACTTTTCCAATACAAGTACTAATAATATCAATCAATATAAGCTATGTTTAACATTGTTTAACAAATATTTTACTGTATTGTATCATTCTCAAATTTGGTTTTAAAAATTGTGAATGGAATTAATTGTCAGTATTTATAGAGTAAGTAATGAAGAATAAAATAATAAGTAATAAAATAAATACATGGATTCAAAAATTGTGTTGTGTTTAGATGTATAATATTGTGACGGCAACGGTGGTCATGTCGTGTTTGATTCTTCCACTCTGTCTCGCAAGTGGTGGTGGCGGTGGAGGTGGCGGTGGAGGGGGTGGCAGTGACTATGCAAATACAGGGGGAGGTTATGGGGGAGGGGGCGGTGGAAAGCGATCTTCTTATAAAGTTTTATATCTTCCTGTAATTCCCGTTAAATCATCGAAAGGAGGCGGAGGTATGTTTGCTAAATATTATATATTTACGTACCGTATATTAGTGTCATTAATGTAATTTACGTTATTTTGAACAAAATATTTCTCTCTTTTAATAATTCAATTGAATTTTATAATTAGAAAAAAGACAAAAAATTCAAATAATATAGTATCTTATTAGAAAATGTTTAAAATAAAATGAATATTCTATTAAATTAATATTTAACATGAGCTTAAACAAGGATCACACAGCGATGCTATACGTTAACCACTATTCGGGAAATGCATCAAATATTTTACAATTTTTCAATACTATTGTTAGAATACTCTCACTATTATTATTTTGAAAATTTTAAATGTTTTTGACAACATGGGA